CATGCTATAGTGGGGTCCCATATATACAAATATATCTACAAATGTATTACATATTTACAGTTTATGTAGCCAAACAGTTTAGATGTCAATGCCGGAGAGTGTCTTTAACATAAACTAAGTGTAATGCCATGGAATACTCATGGGCATTACAATTCTTGGATGGCAGAGGGAGTACTAATAGTAGTAATGCTGATAAACAGGCCTACATCTACCAAAGGATAAATGATCTAACCAGGAAAGCTTCTATTCTGAGATATATAGAACTGGGAAGCTGAGCTAAAAGACCAGCTTAGTCACAGACTGGAAGAAGGTAATGAGGCACAGCAAACAGTTGAGATACAGGAAACTGTGAGAAGGATGGACAAGGAAATGCAGCAGAAAGAGGGGCAGATTTGATACAGTTTCACCAGTTTGCTAACATACAGAATTACAGATTTAGCTTTAAACTGCTTTTGTAGTGTAAAGAAAGCTTTACTTTAATGGCCAGATGTTCAAGGTACAGCAAGCTGTGTAAATACGAAAGGTGAAACTAAGAGGCCTTTTGTGTTCTACTGGAACACTGTTGCCAAATTTGAAGTGAGTGCAATCCATTAATTTATGGTAATCTATTAGAAATGTACCCTCATCATTATAGTGACATCCTCGAATAAATTCTTTTTCTAATGAGACATTACCCAGGTGTAGATGTAGAAAACATTTCAGAAATGTACTTTACTATTAGTTTGCAAACAAAGCTTGGCCTAAGTTAGATACGTCATGGTTTGTCAACATGAAAATAAAGAACACTCCTTTCTTTGCTCTCCTTTATTAATTATTTAAATTTTATTTATTTTATTTAGTTAGAGCTGTTTCTCTTTGCAGTTTCCAATGTTGTTTAGCTTTATTAAGCAAATTAACTTTATTAAACAAATTAATGGACTAAACCAAATACACAATAGTAAAGTTCCAAATAACTGAAAACCAACTTACACACCACACAGCAGCAACAACAAAAAAGAAAACAACAAAATCAAATTAAAAGGTCTTAATTAGTGGTCAAAGCCCTGCCTGAATAAAACTTTCTTTGCCTATCTGTGGAAAGGAAGCCAAGAGGGGGCCAGCCTAGCTTACCTCACATATCCAAATTTAGTAAACGTTTAAACCATAGTTTCCTTTGTATGTGAAACAGAAAACTATTGTTTCATGCACTCCTCAAGCCACACTATAAAACCAAGATCTGATCCTGTTTTAGAAAGTCCTATTAAATGACAGTGTTCTGTTTCAGCTATCACAGGGATTTGTGGCTTGAGAAGCTAAAATAGTTTTTTTAAAAAACAAGGCAATGAAAAGAGGGAAAGAGAGAACTGAGAAAAAAGTGGGTTTACCAGACTGGGATTATTACATCCACTAATGCAGTCTTTAATGCTCAAATTCTCAAGAGTACTTTAGATATTTGTATAACTAGAATGAATTAATATACATCTTTTCCCATATACTACCTTTGAAAGATCATATCTACAAATCAAGCCACTCCAGCATGACAGATTGACAGATTCCATTTGGAAGTCCTACCCAATATATATTATATTTATGGCCAATTTGAGGTAATATGCATCATTATACTGATGTAATTATCATGTATCAGACTTCTGCTTTTGCAATCTGGAAGAACATAAAAAATGCCCATAATCAATGGGACTGTATACTTTCAGAAAGAGGTGTGTGCAAATGCACAATCCTAGCTCTTTAGAGCTTATTGTATACCCCTCTAGATCTTCTTGAATCTTTGATTAGCTTGGCCAGAGAAAGGTAATTCGGGAATTTGCAACCTTCGCACTAAATTGCTATCACCTAAACTGGGCTTATTAGAAGAGGTGGATTATAAAAATATAGAATAGTATCCAGAATATCAAATGTCATTTTTCTATTAATGTGCAATATTAAATTAGTTTGTAACTCAAAGTTTGAAAGCTAAGGCAGAAAATTTTGCAACTAACCAGCCAATCATATTATTGCAAGTTCATACTTTATGCTATGAAGAAAACCAGAACTGATAATACTGATTCTCAACCATGCTGGGAATGTACCAGAACTCTATGGAAACAATGGTTGAAGTCCTGTTGCACAGTTACACAAATGATGTAACCTTTGGAAGCAAATTGCTGTAACTCAGGAAATCTCTACAGACATTATCTGTCATATGACTGAGTGTGGAACAGATAATACTGATGGAGATTTCTTAATTTCAGCTCATATATTATTTAGTAAGCATTCTGTCTAAATTTTCATAGCTAGGATATATACAATTGTGTTTACCAGATGAAAGATTACAAATGTTACAAAAACAGGACTTTTCAAGAATCAGGCTATATTTGAAATCTTGATGGCTTCATCTTTAAGGCAAATTAAGTTCATGAATGAGCAATTTATACTAGAGAATTCTTATGTTTTCCCACTCTGGCCCTGCTACTACTCAGTATATCGCTTTCCCTCAACATGAGAAAATGTCTGTAAAATAAACATGCTTCTAGAACTTCAAGAAGTAAAACAGTTAAAACAAAGGCAAGAGCTGTAAAGGAAAAGCCCTACAAAAGTGAAGTATGAGTGCATGTTTGTTTGCATTTATACATCTGCCTGGATACTGGTAATTGTCCTAAGTTTCAAACTAGCTACATTAAATCAGAGAAGCAACTTTCCAGATTTCACCACACATTGCTGTTCACAGAATGTAGCTCTTTCCTAGAGTAGGTATTTATTTATTTATTTATTTATTTATTTATTTATTTGTTTGTTTGTTTGTTTGTTTATTTATTTATTTATTTATTTATTTATTTATTTCATTTATATCCCGCCTATCTAGTCAATTGTGACCCCTCTAGGTGGCTTACAACATACACTTAAAAATAATTAAACATATAACATACCACATACCACAGGTACCTGTATAGTCTGTATCTGTAATATAATAATTGCAGTAATGATCTTGATTTAGGGATGGGGAATCTGTTCCAGTCAATATCATATTTGCATGTTTTTACTCAAGCTTCTGTTCCATTTCTGAATTAATCTTTGATATGTTTAAAAATAAGTATTCCAATAGTTCTTTTCTCTCAAATAAAAATTTAAATGAAGATTTTGGTATGAACTGAGCAGACAAGAACTGCATCAGATCATTTGGAAAAATGAGAAGATATTTTTTTCTATAGGTATCAGAAAAAAATCAATGCCTTAAGCATGCCTTTCTGGTTAACTAAAGTGCTGTAATGGCACAGAGTATTCAGGAGCATTCTAAGGGTAAGTAAACTATGTTTTCAGAATACCTGTGATTTAGTGTCTCTCAAATCATGTAAGGCAATTTCTCAGCTTAGTGAGAATTAAACAATACAGAACTTAATATAGCAGAGGTTTGTTAGTGGGTCTGTCTGAAATCTGGGGGGAAAAACCTAAGGGCTGGGCAGCCTGAAGAAAAGCAGTTGATTTAACGCTGCAGTGTAAGTAACATATTGAGCAGCATGTACTCAAGGGGAGGAAAAGTGGAAATGCATAGTGCTTCAGTAAAAAAGGAAATGGTAGGGCTGAATTTCATATACACTAATTTGAATTAAGCAGCTAATTCTTTGAGAAGAGGACTGCAGTTCTGTATAGGACAGCATGTTTCCATTAGTCATATCAACTGTCTTCAGACAGACACATAAGCAGAGGTATTTGGGTATACCCAGTGTGACCATGAGGTAGAGGAAAGTACTGCTGCTTCCTCAAAGACTGTTCAGATATCCTTTTTCCATTCTGGAATATCCATCTTTCTCTTTCTTCTGGCACAGAGCTTAGGGTGTGATCAAATGGGGAAACAGATCACATTTTGGACAACTAGTGGAGCAGTCCAGTGTGATTTCTTTCCCAATAATCATACTGCAGCCCAGCCCCAATCCATACCCAAGATGGACCTCTTTGATCCAGCTGTAGGGCTACCACATTTTGGGCCAGGCTGGAGTGATTTCCCAACAGACAAAAAAGTTGTTTGTGAGAGATTATTCCCAGCAAAGTGACCCTTTCTGGAGTGATCGGACACACACCCTCCCAACCATCTGATCACATCCATACTTTACTAAAAGACTATCACACTAATGCAAATGAATTAGCTTGTGACTATGAAGCTCCCCTAGTTGGTGCTCATCAGGTCGGCAGGAATATATTAATTTATGTGTCCCAAAAGGCATCTAAGAAAACCCACCAAAAAAAACAAAAAAACAACAAAAGCAATCATATCCTGAGAATGCTAGAGAAATGTAGCTGGCTATAACCTGGGGGAGGGCTGTAGCGCACCCTAACTGCAGTTAGGAATATGCAAATGAATTAATATATTCCTGCCTCCTTGATGAAGTAATGGCATGATATTTCACATTCTCTGATATCTCTTTTCTATATACCGCATGCTGTTAGTTCATTTATTATGTGAAGTGAATTAATCTGGAGACAGTTGAAAAACTGTCGAGAGATTACAACATATATGGAAAAAATCCTGCATCAAAAAAATTAAAAGTGGATACAGATAAGGAACCCACTATTCAAAAGGAGAGTCAAGTCAAAAGGAGGGAGGGAAATGCCATGGTGCTTGCAATCTAATGGGTTAAGCACACCTAACTTGCCATAATCCATGTAAGAATAATTGGCAACAATTTAATTCCCTTCCCACCCCATCATCATCACGGCAATAATAAGAGACCAGGAAAAATAACATCTCATTCTACAGGCACTGAATAGCTGTCTTATCAACAAATAGATTGATTTGCTTCAGCATATTTCATGTACTCTATGTTCTTCCAAGGACAGGCATAATGATACTTCATATGTGAATGAATGGTCAAAATAAGAAAAATTACTCCAGATTATAGAAAAAAAGAAAATGAGATCAAAATTGAAAGAAGAGAAAGCACAGGGGATACAATGACCAAAATATAGTCAAGATAACTCCTGATCTTTAGGAAAGCAGAACAGAAAAAGGATAGTGAGGTAACACTTACATTCTCATATTGCTGGTCTTGTTGATAATTACAGATTTTCCAGTTTGATCCACATTATGATCCATGCCAAAGTACGCTGCCACTCTGTGCACCAGCATTCGCTGATACGATGACATCTGGGGGAACTTTTTATAATGATTGCTGGAACAAAACATCAAAGGGCTCAATCTGATGCAGCCTCTGACATGATAGACCAACAGAAATCTACTTTTTTAAAGATATTTGTCTCCTAAACATCCTCTGTAGTTAATTGTCTGGTCTCTTATGCCAGATATAGAAGATATGTTTCATATTATTTATTTATTAATTTTAATAATTAAAGAACACTCTGCAAAAACTAGGTCCCTATTTAATTTTTTAAAACGCTAACTGTGCTAAGTTGTATACATAAGCACTAAGATTAGCATTTACAGTTGTAATATTTGAATAATTTGAAAAATCAAATTATGCAATGCAATACTTCATCATATTTGCACAATGTACATTAAGCTAGTAGAATCTGACTTGTACTATTCCTAAACAAATTCCTTTCATCCCAAAGGGCCTATAAAATCCATTTAAAATTGGCAACTGCATGCAAAGTTTCCTTATATTTCTCCTTCTTTCTTTCTTTCTTTCAGAAAGCTGAGGGAAGTGTTGCATAAGGTTATCTGTTACTTCCTAACAACCACTCAGTGAGTCCAGTAGGCTTTGACATGTGCCCTAATGATGCTGCTAGCACTAGATCACAGGGTGGGAGTCAGGATGACTTCTCAACTGCAAGACAGTAATAGCAATTGGCTAGTAGTAGAAGAAAATGAGTCCTGGCTGCAAAGGAACATTTGGTGGTGGTGGACAACCAGTCAAAGTTTGAAGTCAACCATTGTTCTAGTCAAAATCCTTCAAGTCTAAGAGGCAATGAATTGAACCAGACACTGCTTTTAAATATGCAAATTTACTTGAAGATGGAAAAGATGTTGAACAGCCATTTCTAACCTAATTCAAGGGGATTCAGGCATGAACAATTTTCACCAAAAAAGGAATCAGTACTGAAAATAAACTTACCAGTTGTCACTAATAAAGTCAATAATCTCCTGTTCCATTTTTAATAGTATCATTCTATCCCTGTTAATAATAATAAAAAAGAAAATCTGTTGTTTCAAAGTGGGAACGATATCAGGCTACAATGTTTGCAATAAATAATGCTGATAGCACCCCCTATTCTGCTCAAGTACATCTATTATAAAAATATCAGAGTATTTAACTCCTATCTAGAAAAACACATTTATTCTGAATGTTGTCATGATTATTGGGAAACAGGACTGTTACAGTTGTCTAGGCTCTATATTAACAAACAGCATGTTGTGGAATATTTCTGTCCTGTTGTTCTTCCAACAACACTAAGTGTTTCACATGTCTCATTTTTTTTCATATCATTATACTCACTACTAATATTAGGAGTCAGAGCTGAAAAAAGTGAATAGCTGCCCAGAATGACTCCATGAGTTTTACTGATGGGGGAATCTTTTGTATCGGAGTTGTCCCTATGTAAACCCGCATTCCTATGCATTGAGTTTCTAAGAAGGACAACCCATATCATAAATAGTCAGCCAGAAGGATTTACTCCTCAACATGAGTGGAGACAGGCACAGTTTTTAGTATTCTCTACAACCCTCTTCTGTACAGCGGTGCCTCGCTTAACGATTACCTCATTAAATGACAAAAACGCTTTACGATGAAGTTTTTGTGGTCGCTATTGCGATCGCAAAACAATATTCCTATGGAGAAAAATAGCTTAACGATGATCGGTTCCCTGCTTCGGGAACTGATTTTTCACTAGATGACGATTTTAAAACAGCTGATCGGTTGCTCCAAAATGGCTGCCCGCTGTGAAAAATGGCTCCCTGCTGTGCTTTAGGACGGATTCCTCGCTTTACAGGCACCGGAAAATGGCCGCCCTATGGAGGATCTTCGCAAAACGAGCAGGTATTTCGCCCATTGGAACGCATTGAACAGGTTTTCAATGCATTTCAATGGGTTTTTTAATCTCACTTGACAAGAATTTCGCTTAACAGTGATTTGAACAGAACGAATTATCCTCATCAAGCAAGGCACCACTGTACTTTGTGTGAACGTTAAGGCTAGACAAAGTGTCAACCTTCTCTTCCTTTACAGAAACTGAGCTAAAACATTTTGATAGTTTTGTTCTCTAACATTTGTGATATTCATGAACACTATTTGTGATGAGATCTACTGAACAATTAATGAATGTTAGACAGTTTGGTAACACAATAGGATACAAATAAATACAAGAAACATTTGTTGCAACAGTTATAGAAAAGGACCCTTCCATGAGGACAGGCAGCCTGGACTGAAAGAATGTCCCGTGAGAAAAGTGATCTGAAATTCAAAAATCCATGAGAAAAATGATCCAAAATCTGATTGGCAAAGTTTTTGTGCAAAATGTTGCATCTACTTTCTCAAGATCTGTCTAAGTTCATATGGTACACCTTGTATTTTATTTTTTTGACTAACCTTAGTGATTACTTGATTTTTATAACTTGTTTTATGAGATAACACACAAACTATATCAGCATATTATAGATTTTGAATATTATGCAAACATTATAACAAAATATTACTTCCTGATTTACTTTAAAAGCATGTATGAATTAATTCTACAAATGAAAAATACTTGGTCATAGAGAGTAATTAAGAAGTTTATATATATATATTCTGTTAGTTAGAGCTAACTAATTTTTAAACTTTTATTTTTAGCAGGGAGTAAGGGACACTGCTCCTTTCTGAGATAGAAATGCATGGGGACATTTTCTCCTATGTTTCTATGTGACTGCGTTACTCTGGATTAAACATTCACTCTTATTTAATTAGTCACAATTTGTCATTATATACGTAATGGGAATTATAATTACTTTTACCTATCACCATCCAAACAAACCTAGACAAATTGAATTTAGCATGTTTGAACAAACCTTAGTTAAAATTAACCAGATTCTTCTATTTCAGAGACAAACGAAAACTCACAGGAAATGAAAGCAAATACTTTTTTTCTCATTGTGGACAGAGTGTATTTCTCCGAGAGTCATGGATATAGTCCCAAATCATAGTTTAGTACTATCTTTGAATACAATAAATATATCACCAATCTGTGTTTCTGTTTAACCTGACACATGAAACCTCTGTTCTACTGTAACCTGGCTTTGCCCTTATCATTTAATCATTATTTAGCAATTGGTATCTTGATCTTAAATTGGGACATGGTGGCGCTGCAGGTTAAACCGCAGAAGCCTCTGTTTCAAGGTTGGAAGCCCAGCAGTTGTAAGATTGAATCCATGTGACTGAGTGAGCTCCCATCGCTTGTCCCAGTTCCTGCCAACCTAGCAGTTCAAAAGCATGCAAATGCAAGTAGATAAATAGGTACCACCACGGTGGGAAGGTAACAGCATTCCCTGTCTAGTCATGCTGGCCATGTGACCACGGAAACTGTCTACAGATAAGTGCTGGCTCTACGGTTTAGAAATGGGGATGAGCACCACCCCCTAGAGTCAGACACAACTAGACAATTCTCAAGGGGAACCTTTACCTTTACCTTAAATTCCAGATGTTCAAAATCATAAATCCCAATGTTTCTAATTCAGCACAACACACAGGTCTTTAAAAATTCTATAATTGCTTCTCGATCCTTTATATTCCTATCTTGCTCATGTTTAATGGCCAATGGCTTTCTGCATTGCAATTAAGATGTGCTACAGGATCACACATATCACATATTCCTACTTGGCTCCATCTAGCAAGCACCGAAGTACTGTGGTCTTCATATATAAATGTAATCTTATTAAACCATAGGGAGGAATTATGAGAGTGAAAGAGATTGGTAGGTAAGTCTCTAAGATAAGGGAAAATGTACATTCTATGGCAGTGGTGTCGAACTGTGGCCCTCCAGATATTCTTGGACTTCAACTCCCAGAAGCCTTCACCACCACCTCTGCTGGCCAGGATTTCTGGGAGTTGAAGGCCAAGAACATCTGGAGGGCCACGCCACAGTTCCACTGTTCTATGGAGTATGTGTTGATTTTGATAGAGGTTAACATTACGTTGTTCTTTGCTGATAAAATTTTAAGCTATACAAAAAGTATACTTACCTAGGATTATTCTTTAGTGTGTTAACCAGAAATTCATGTAAATCTATGCCTGTTGAGTCTGTATATTCTTGGCTGCAGTCTGAAAAAACATACATTCGTAGTAATTTCATTTCTAAAAATCTTGCTTTAAAAGCTATTGTACAGAAAAAAAATATTTTTCCCATCCCCAGTGGTCTCACAAAGTGGACAAACTATTCAAGAAACAGTGGGGCTCAAACCCACTATAACAAGAACTACAAGCATCAAGTTAAACAGAGTTTTACTGTAATTTTATTTTTTTTTTATTTATTTTATTTATATGCTGCCTATCTAGTCGATTGACCACTCTAGGCGGCTCACAACAAAGGAAACAACAATAATAAAAACCAATTTACAAAAAGGAAAACTTTCAACAATTGGATAAACACTAGGAAAGAGAAGGAAAGAGGAGTCAGGAATTAACTGGGGGGGGGCAATGCTTTACTTTTAGCAATTACTTTGACTGTATCTTTCCTTGTAAGTCACTGCAAGATTTTTTTTTTTAAATGAGAATTGGTATATACATATGCTTAACTATGCACCATCATAAAATTAGCTGTACCATCTGAAACACTGTTCCACTGAAGAAGGTTGCAGATAGAAGGGGCAAAGTTATTACAAATTTGTATCATACAGACTAGAGATTTAAACAACCTAACTTAAAAGTAGGGAAGGCATTTTATTAATATTGTTCCACAATTCAGTTTGCTCTGTCTTCTGCCCATCCCTGTCTTCAATCCATGGTTTAAAAGGAAGTGTGATCTGGCACACCATCTTTTAATTTTTTTTACTAAGAGGCTACGATTCTACAAATGACAGTGAATTGTAGGAATAAATGTTTGCTCTTTACATGCAGTAATGGCTTCCCAGCATGCTATAAATCAGTTCCGATTCAGCAGACTAATGCATTTTT